GAATTGTTTAATGAATTTATTTTTATAACAAAACATTATTGTTCAGTTTCATAATGATGCAGGTTGTATCTGAAGCTGACACACAGCTGGTACACTTTCTTTCTTCTTTTTGTCTGAGAGTGTTTAAAAACACACAAATACTGAATATAGAAAATATAATATCTGAATGAACTAGCCTGTCTGACAATGTGATTATTTAATGTTTATGATACTGTCTCTGTCATTAGTGAGTCTACATCATAATTTCTATAATTATTATGCGGTCTAACTAGTCAACAATCCAATAAAGTCCATATTTTACATGTTTAATATCAGTAAATAATTTATTTGACAACAGATAAAATCGATTTTAAACAAGGTTAAACATGAACATTGACACTTTTTAATGTTAGCATGCAGGTTTTATTTTTAAAATAATGAATTCTGGTTAAATATGCATAATATTTACCTGTGAAACATAATCCTTTTTTGCTCTTGTAAAAGCGTTGTAACAATCTATGTAGTTTATAGAAAAGTATTCGAACAATTTAWACATTTATAAAGCATTTGTTTGCACCGCGCTACGTTCTGCTAATTGATTTCAATGGTTAGCGTTAGCATTAGCTCGATGCATAACAAAACCCCTTGCAAAGCACGCCCAGGTCACGTGACGCCCRATCCAGTAACATATATCAGTGAGTTGTGGGATTCTGTTCCAGATGTGGCTACAGTCCGGACAGCAGAGACAGCTGTGGAGCGACTCCCTTCATGGATGCTGTGAGGAACGGACACCTGCCCGTGGCCCGGCTGCTTTTAGACAAACACCAGGTGGAACAAACGTCTGTCACTGCGGTCATGTTTCACTTCTGCTCCCAACATTCATGTTTCCACTTGACCTGCCCCCGTCAGGCCTCTCCAGTGGCAGCCGACAGACTCGGGGCTCAGCCCGTGCACCAGGTGGCTGTTACTGGCCAGGAGGAGGCGCTGAGGTTTTTGGTTCAGGACCAGGGTGTGGATGTGAACCAGAAGGCCACAGAACTCCAGCTCACTGCCCTACATTATGCAGCCAAGGTTTGTTAGACCAGTGCTTTCCGCACCTTGGTTGGTGAGTGTCGTCCACACATGAAGGCACAGCCACGTGAGTTACTATCAAAGTGAGGTCTTTGCTGTAAAGTGAGGACCACTTCACTTTATTTGCAGCTCTACTGCGCTTCACTAGTTAGGTTTAGAGGAATGGTGTGAGTTGAGTTTTGGTTCAGGTTAGGGTTATTCTTTACTTCAGTGATAACAGGTGCTGTACAGCCACCATCTCTGTGGATGCTGATTCATTTTTTTTCCTGTTTTTTTAATCAGTGTGGATTGCCAATGCAATGCACACTATTGTGTTTCGTTTCCCATCCAAGTCATCTCAACTTTGCCA